GGACACCCCCACCCCACAGCCTGTTCAGGGCTCCCCCTTCACCCAGAGGGATAGTACTTCTCCCCATGGGGGTCCCGGAAGGGACCTTCAACTCTGCTTAGGGGAGGGTCGGGCTGGCCTTGCCCTGCACTTTCCTGTGTCCGTCTGTTCTGCCAGCCAGGCCCTCCTGAGCGTTTGGGGGTGCGGGTGGCACCGGGGCTGCGAGCCCCCCAGGTGTCAGTTCACACGAGTAAGGGTAGCTGGGGACCAAGGGAGGCCTCCCTTGCAGTGTGGGGCTGATCGCGGGGCAGACCCAGCTGGCGAGAACCCCGTAAGCTTGGCTTCCCTTGGCAGTTGCTGGGCAGAGCCTTGGTCAAGATGCTTCTGGTCAAAGCCGGAAGTTGGTAAAAGAAGGGGCACGCCAGGCAGAGTCTCGGGCCGCCTCCCCGTCTGGGCGAGGAGGTGGGCCACCCGGGCAGCGCCCCCGCAGCTGCTGCTTGCTTGTGTTGCAGGGACTGCTTCAGGGCGTTTTACGTCCACAAGTTCAGAGCCGTGCTGGGGAAGAATCGGCTCATCTTTCCAGGAGAGAAGGTAGCGTGTGGGGTGACCCCTCTGTGGGGTCCCCAGTTGGAAAGCCCAGCCCCCCCGGCCCTGGCTCTCAATCCCTGTGTCCCTTCCCACTGTCGTGCACGGGTGGTGGGGGGGGGGACGGTGGACACGCTCCTGTTGGAGATGCGGTGCCCTCCAGCGACGTTCCTTTTCCCTTAGGTGCTCCTGGCATGGTCTGGGGGGCCTTCATCCAGCTCCATGGTCTGGCAGGTCCTTGAGGTACATCCCTCCAGCATCTTCCAGGGGCCTTGCTGCTGCCCAGCCAAGCTCCAGGGTCAGGGGCCCTGCCCTGAGGGGCTCTTGCCTGGAGCTTGTGGGAGCAGCCCGCCAGCAGCCGGGACAACCGGAGGGTTCCTCGATGTGTGTACAAGAGGTGCACGTGCTGGGGCTGCGTCTGGAGTGACCCAGCTCTGCCTCAGTTTAGTACTTTGCTGACCGTGTAGAGTCATTATCACCAGAACGGTGTCGCGGCACGGTGGAGCATCGCTTGGGGTGTTGTCAGGTCATGGGCTTCCCCCCGGTCCTGGGTGGAGGATGAGACTGTGACATAGGAGCAGGTGCCTTGGGGAACCCAAAAGGGGTCCAGCCTGGCTGCGGATGGGCAGCCTCCTTGAGAAGTTTAAGGAGAGACCCGAGTGAGCAGCGGGGCCCCCAGGTGGCTAAGTCGGGTGGGGAGCCAGAGTGAGGAAGGTGCTCTGGGTGCAGAGCTGGGCTCCAGGCAGTCAGTGGCCTGCGCAGAATGCTGGCCGCACCCGGGGTCTTGACCCGGGGCTGGGACACACAGACCCTGGGCATTCCCCTTGAGAGGTGCAGATTAGAGGGGCTGCGGCCATGGGGGCGGTCTGTCCTGGGGCCCCCGGTGTGGTGCATCTGGTTGGTGCTCCACTCTGGCGTCACGGCCCACTGAACCTGGCCTTTTGTCTGGCACCTGGTGGCCCCCTTCCCTCTGACTGGTAGTGCCTGGATTTTCTGCTGTTCCGTCGCACTCTCGGTGGCCAGAGGTGCTTGGGTAGGCCGCTTCTCGGGATGTATCCAGGAGGGAGGGACTGACTCGTGAGGAGCAGGTCGTGCGGGGGCAGTGAGATACACATGCGTGGCCTCCCTGTGGGGCCTGACAGCACCTCCTCTGAATGGCCTGTCCACCCCAGGTGGGGGTCAGCACCACTTCCCAGGGGGCCTCAGTCGAGGTAGAGAATGGTCTGTGCCGGGAAACTGTCCTGTGTTTTCTAACTGGGGGGCTGAGCTCCTGTCCCTTTTCTCTCCAGGGCCTGAGTCGAGATTCTGCCAAACGACTGCGTTTCGTGCCAGGGGTCATCTACGTGGATGGTGCGTGTGGCCACCCTCACCCCTACCCCACTGCTCAGGATGAGCCCCACTCAGACAGCGGGTGCTGTGACTTTAGCAAGGCCCTGCTGGGGGCAGTTTTTGGAGACAGCACGCGTGTCCGGCAAGAAAGGCACGGTTGTTGTCTTACCACAGTCAGCTTTCTCAGAGTCAGGCCGGAAGGGCCCCAAGTGAGATGGGGGGGCCCCGAGAGGGATGGGCGAGTTCGCTTCCCCAGGGCCCAGTCGCTAACCTGCCCCCCGCCTTGCTCCCTTGAGATAGGCTCCCAGGTGGATCTCTGGCACTGTGGTCAGTCAGGCCTCCCCTCCACACACCTCCCTGTGCCATGACCGTGAAGCCACTGCCCGCTCTGAAATGCTCCCCCAGGAGAACAGGTTAGCTGTTGTTCGTGCAGAAAAGCCACGTAGGATGTCTCACACGGCGTTGGCCCTGTCCCGTCTCCGGCCCTTCTATAGCCGTGACTCCTTCCCGCCTGCCGTTTTTCAGAGGGAGCGGCTTGTGGGCAGAGCCCGGAGGACAGAGCAAAAACTGTGGCTGAAATGAAGCTGATCCTGCAGACCCTCGGCTTCCCGTGGCACATTGTCACCTTGGAGGAGGTGGGCGGGCCCGTGTCTGATAAGGCCCCTGGAGGGTGGGCTCCTGGGGTGTACGCGAGGGGCCTGTTGAGTCGCCGCACGCAGAGGTGGGCTGGGCCTTACGCTGTCCCCCTGCCCCGGAAGGTATTCGGTCTGTCGCCGTCGGTGCTGCGCTGCTCTGCCCAGGAGCCAGTGGGGGCCGTGGGGACCTACAAGGTGGCTGTGGATAGTTTCCTCCAGCAGCAGCACACGCTAGGGACCGAGAGGGCAGGGGGCAGCCCCAGCCCCACCCAGGGAGAGGAGCAGCTGAGCCCGCCAGGCACCCAGGAGTCCCAGGACCCAGCGGGGCCACCGCCAGCCGCCCAGACCGAGGCTCTGTCCCGACTGTTTGGCTCTGTGAAGACGCTGACGGCCAAAGAAGAGTTTCTGCACACCCTGCGGTAAGCCCCCCGCCCTCCCAGGGTCTTGGCCTGGCTTCACCTGGACCCTGAGACCCTGTGCTCTCCAGGATGCACCTGATCCTGCACGTGGCCCGGACCCATGGCTACTCCAAGGTGATGACAGGAGACAGCTGTACCCGCTTGGCTATCAAGCTCATGACCAGCCTGGCGCTGGGCAGAGGGGCCTTTCTCGCCTGGGACACGGTACGCGGGTGCAGGCCTTTCAGGGACCCTGTTGACCCCTGTCACTTGGAAGTAGTGTCGAGAGTCAGCCCCGGGGTCTCCCTCGCGGAGCAGGGAAGGAGGGACTGCGAGCCCGTCTGGTGGGGGTGGTGAGGGACGTGCCCCCGCCCCCCGCAGGGCTTCTCAGATGAGCGTCACGGTGACGTGGTGGTGGTGCGGCCCATGCGCGACCACACGCTGAAGGAGGTCGCTTTCTACAACCGCCTGTTTGCTGTGCCCTCCGTCTTCACCCCCGCCATCGATACCAAGGTGAGCTGCAGGACCTGGGCGGGCCCCCGCCCTTCGGCATGGGGCCAGGGGTCGCCAGCACCCCTTGGTGACCTGAGCCGTGTCCACACTGGCTCTCAGACCTCAGTGTTAACAGTGGCGTGCCCGGCATTCTGGGAGCAGACGCAGGGCACTCCCCCGCAGTGCAGAGGTGGGCTGCTGTCCTCCAGGAAGAGGGGGTGTGCCGGGGGGCGGTGGGTGGCTGGCCCCCAGGTGCCTGCGTCTCTGGGAAGGGCTCTCAGGTGTAGGACGGGCAGGACGGATCTTGGAGAAATCTGACGGCACGATCTGTGAGAGCCACTGTGTTCAGCAACCGGGAGGCTTCAGAAGCGGGTGCTCCGGCCGACTCCAGCCCTGACGTGGTGCTCGTGGGGGCTGCCAGCGTGAAGCTGTGGCCCCTCAGCCCGGCCTGGGGCGCCACTCCTGCGGCCCTCATCTGATTCCCCTTAGGCCCCCGACAAGGCCAGCGTCCACCGCCTGATGGAGGGCTTCCTGCTCCGGCTGCAAGCCCAGTTCCCGTCTACCGTCAGCACCGTGTACAGGTGTGTGTGCGCGCGTGTGCACGAACACCCGTGTCAGGGTCGGGTTGTGGGAGCGGAGCCCCAGCCTGACGGTGCCTTGCGCCCTGTCTGCCACACCCTCAGGACGAGTGAGAAGCTGGTCAAGGCCCCCCGCGACGGCTGTGCCGCCGGCCCCCGCTGCCTGCTCTGTATGTGCACGCTGGACGTCGACGCTGCTGGTCTGTGTGGAGGGGGAGGGGCCCTGGCAAGTGGGAGGCGGGGTCCGGTCCCCAGAGGATCCTCAGCTTTTCTCTGCCTGCAGATAGTGCCACGGCTTTTGGGGCCCAGACCTCCGGTTTCTCCCAGACGCAGCCCCCCACCCCGCGGGCTGGGGCTGGAGCACCCACAGAGGTGGGCGGCGCCCAGGACCGCTGCCGGGGGGCTGGGCTCTGCGGGAGGTAAGGCCCACCCCGTCCTGCCCCCACGGCCGGCCCCACGCAGCTCTCCGGGGCGGGGGGGTGGCACTTCCAGGGCCCAGGCTAGGTGGTCATGTACAGCTCTGCTCCCTCAGGGAGGACTCCCGAGCCCACGTCATCGAGCAGCTATGCTATGGCTGCCGTGCGAACATGAAGGATGTGGTGAGTGGTTCCCGCCCACGGGTGGTGACAGGAGAGGTCCACCCCCGGGGCTCTGTGCCTCACGGCCCCTCACCCACGGCCCCTCACCCACGGCGGTGCTCTTTTGTCGCAGCCTTCCTTGGACCTCCTGCCACCCTACATTTTGGCCGAGGCCCAGCTCCGCAGCCAAAGGTACCAGCTAGCCACACAGCTGGGGGAGCCCCCTTTGTGTGTGTGTGTGTGTGTGTGGGGGGGGGGGGAGCGGGGAGGGTCCTTCTGGGCCTCTGCACCTGGCGGCAGGTTCCCAGCGTGTGGCTTCCCCCAGGGCCTCGCAGGAGATCCAGGAGTATCTGGTGGAGAACAGTGCTGAGGAGATGCAAACCGCCGAGAGCTGAGCCTGGGGCCACCAAGAGCCGGGGGCGCGGATCGCATAAATAAAAATACTTTTAATTAGAAAACCCTACAGTACTCGTGGGGAGGGGAAGGCTGGACGCCCCAGCCCCAGCCCAGCGTGCCGGCCGCGTGGGGCCCTCGGGGACGAGGAGGTGCCCTGAGCTGGGCGGGGGAGGGGCCACAGCTTCCTTCCTTCGTTCCGGCAGCAGCATCAGGGCCCGGCGGTCTGCCGGGTGGCTCCTTCCTGCCTGGGTGCGGGGCCCTGGCTCCTACTCCTTCTCGCGGGTCCACTTGATCATGGTCTCGGGCGAGCGGTACAGGAAGATGAGCTTGGCGTAGAGCTCCTCCTCCAGCTCCAGCTCGCGCGTCTCCCGCACCAGGAAGATGTCCTGGCAGAGCTTGAGGATGCGGTCCACGCAGGGTAGCTCCTCAAACATGATGGAGTGGGAGATCTCGCTGAAGAAGCCACGCACGAACTTGCCGATGACCAGCACGATGGACACGTAGAGCCCCATGATCCTGCCAGGCGGGGGCAGGGTGAGTCCTGGGCCCCGGAGGCTGCAACCGCCGCCCGTCCGCCTTCGCGCGCAGCACACTCACCCGTAGCCGGCCAGGAAGCCGAGGCTGGGCGGGCTGACCTTGTCGCTGAAGATGACCATGGGGAGCAGGTTGCATTCGGCCTGGCAGTCCTGCAGCTCGATGACCCACCACTCCAGGAAGCCGGCGGCCCCCGAGCCCACGCGCTCCCTCCGCAGCTGGATGCGCACTCCGAGGTAGTCGGCCTCCTCGTCTGGGGCAGAGCCAGGGTCCGTCAGGGCCCCCACCCTTGCCCGGGGTGGTGCCAACCCCCCACTCGCATGCACTCGCTGTCACACACTCACTGGGCTGCAGCTGCTTCACGGGGTTGGCCTCGGGCCCGTTGGGAGCACGGATGTACTTGGGGAAGAGATTGGGGATGACCCTGCAGGGGGGGGGGGGGGGGGGGAGTCAGGCCCAGCGCCCCCGGGTGCCCCCCCCCCACTCACACCGACTGGTCCCAGGTGCCCTCTGGCAGGCCCCGCCCCCCAGTGCTCTCCCCCACTCACACCGACTGGTCCGAGGTGCCCTCCAGCAGGCTGGCCAGCTGCCTCCGCTCACTGCTATTGGCAGCCAGGTCCAGGGTGTGCTTCTCGTTGGTGTATTCCACGGTGCCGCCCTTGGCCAGGTCCCTACGGGCCAGCACACAGCGTGACCCACGGCGGGCCACACCCCACCCGGGTCCTGCCCCAGCCCGGGCCGCACCTCTGGAAATTCCAGGTGAAGCGCAGGGTGATGTCGGTGGTGCCGTTGTACAGCTCCCGCTTCATCTGGGCCCGGCTGGGCGGGCTGATGCGCCACAGTGCCCCGGAGCTGCCTTCGATCTGCGCCGTGACGATGTCCTCGGGGCTGTACTGGCTGATGAACTGCATGGCCAGCTGGGCCCGGGGCGGCACTTGAGCGAGCGGCGGCCCCCTCCACCCCGCCCCCCGCCCCCGCAGGTGCAGCCCGGGGCCCACTCACAGGGTTCGGGTCGAAGTGTCTGGACAGCTCCTCATAGGCCTGTTGCGTGAAGGGCACGATGGACGGCTGCTGCGCGCTCATGGTGAACAAGGGCTGCGGTGGGGGGACGGCGTGACGCTGCAGGGAGCCCCTCGGCCCCTGGCTGCCAGCGCCGCGTGGAACTCTAAAGACGAGTGACGTGGGACTGGCCCACCGTCCTGCTCCCCGGCTGGGACAGACCGGTGGCTCACCTCGTAGCCACCCAGCTTGAGGGTGACGGTGACGTCGATCGGCTGGTTGACGACGCCGACCACGGAGCGCACCAGGGACATAAAGAGCAGAGGGAACCAGATGATGGCCACGAGGAACAGGATGATGAGCCCGCCCATGCCGTACTTGACCACCTTCTTCTTCTTCTGCCCCTTGGGCTGTGGGTATTTCTGGGGGGGGGGGCGGCGGGGTGTGGGTCAGGTCCTCAGCTCTGCCCGCCCCCCGCCCCGTCCCGGACCCCCACCCCCTGCTGCTCCGGGGGCCGTCCTCACGCGGCCACAGCCTGGAACAGCACTTAGTGTGGCCTCTGCGTGCACAGACACCGGCCAAGTACAGCCGAGAACCCAGAAACAGACCCTCGCGCCGAGCGAGGAAAGGATAGGCTCGTCAGCGGTCGTGCTGGGACAAACGGACACCGACACGCCAGAGACATGGGATGGTCCGTAAAACTCCCAGGGGCAAAGTTTCATTCCTCAGGATCTGGTGCGAGATTCTCGGACCGAGCACGAGCACGAGCACCAGCAGAAAACTGGACGTCAGAGAAAGACTCCTGTGTTTCAGGGGAGGGGGAGAGACCATGGAGAGCGAGCCCGCAGAACGGGAGGCTTCGGGGCAAATCCTGCCTGAGAGGGGCTATAGCGTCCAGAACAGAAGTTCTTGTAAGTCAACGATAAGACGACAGACAACCCAGGGACGCAAGGGGCAAAGCAGACGACTGACAGGCACGGGAGAAGAGTGTCACCGTCACGAGCCATCAGGGCCACCAGAACCAAGACTGCACTGAGGCAGTCACCTCTCGGTCACAAGTGCTGGCGAGGACGTGGGGAGACCGGCAGCCCCCACGCCGCAGTGGGGGGGAGCGGGGCGGCCGAGGGGCTGAGGCATCCACGGCAACACTCGCTGCGATCAACAGAACAGAAGCCCAGCCTCCTTCACAGTTTGGAATGGTGGCGTAAGAAAGGTGGCTCAGTCACGTGATAAAAAGCTGCTCGGCCATGAAAACCCCAAGTCCTGACACAGGCCACGCGGACGGCGCTTTGAACCCCCTAGAACGAAAGAAGCCGGACCCGGGCTATGGGGCAAGTGACTGCATGTGCACGAACCTTCTGGAACAGGCAAATCTCTGCAGCGAGGGGTTCTTGCTGGAGCGCTGGGCCGGGTTTAGACCCGAGGGGACAGTGGCACAGCTCTGTGACCGTGCTATGCGTCGCTGAATTGTACAGGTGGATGGGGCAGGTTCTGTGCCCACCGTCCCCCAGTAAAGCTGCTAACGGGACCGCGGCTGATACTTGGTGCCCACCCCATCTCCCAGCCCTCGCGCCTAAGACCAGAGGCCAGGCCTCTTCTGGGTATTTGCTCAGACCTCGGTCAGCTGCCTGTTCCCAACAGGGTCAAGTTCACCGTTCCCTCTAAGAGGCACCTCCTGGCCTCATGTGGTCGTGGGTTGGCAGCCCCCAGGTGAGGGGTGGGGGGGACCACCAGCACCACCTGGTTGTCGTGTGGCCCGTCTGCCCCAGTGGGGAGTGACCAGTGTCCCTCACTACCCGCCTTAGGCCCGGGCACCTTCTCGGTCTCTCGGCTGCACTTGATGATGAAAATGTTGGCGTAGATGTCCTCCACACACATCCAGCTGGAGAGGGACAGCGTGGTGTCCGTCCACACCCAGTCCATCACGGCCCGCAGCTCCACCAGGAACGGCACGAGCCGGAAACTGCCGGGGGCGGGCACCATCAGGACAGCCCGCGGGAGACCGCCCCACTCCCGGCGCCCCGTGCCCGCCCACACTCACCCCTGGAAGAGGAAGAGGTTGAGGTGGTTGTACTTCTTGGTGAGGAAGTTGCCCAGGATGCGGGTGGGGTAGCCGCAGCGGATCTGGTAGGCGGACAGGGCGAAGTAGACGCACTTGACGAAGTACCACAGCTGGGCCACTGCGTTCTGGCTGAACATCCTGCAGGGGCGGGAAGGCCAGGTCAGGGCGCCCTGCCTGAAGCCGGAGCCTCAAGGTCTCCGGGCCCAGCGCCGGCCCGGCCAGACACCCACCTCTCGGTGACCGCGGGCAGAATGAGGAACATCCAGAGGTGGATGGCCAGCACCAGGACCACCTGGAAGGCCAGCTTGCCCAGCACGGTCTTGCGGAGGTAGAGGGCGCGGTCGATGACCATGGTGCTGAACTGGATGAGCAGCATGACCAGGAAGGCCTCGGGCACCTGGTCGTCTGACAGTGAGGACGTGATGTCTGTGGCTGCTGAGTGTTTCTGTGCCGGGAGAACAGAGGTCAGGGGGTGGCGGGGGGGGGGGGGGGAGGGGGTGGCGGGGAGGGGGTGTTGGGCTCTGTGCTCACCCCAAAGGCCCAGAAGCCAAAGATGATGATGATGAAGTCAACGACGTCCGCCAGGAACATGAGGGCGTAGACGTCAGTGGCCGCGCGGTACTGGGTGTGCAGGATGTCGTGGAAAAAGCAGTGCAGGGGCCGGTACACGCTCTGGGCCCTGCAGGCGGCGGTGGGCTCAGTGCGCCGGCGCCCCCAGCTGCGCCCTCCCACCCGCCCTGGCCTGGGGGCTGCCACGGTCACTCACAGGGCCAGGCAGCAGCTCTGCAGTCGGAGCCCCAGGGCTCTCGCCCTTTCCCGAGGGCGACTCCACCTCTCGCTCCCCGGGGCCGCCGCCACGACGCCTTCTGTGGGAGCAGCCACTGCTGACGGGAGCCCCGGGGGCTCCAGGCCCAGCTCCAACTCCCGGCCACCCCAAGACCACCCCCCCAGGGGGCTGGGTCACCCCACTTTACGGACCAGCAGGCTGAGATGAACACAGAGACGTCCCCAGGTCGCTGGCAGTGGGCCAGCTGGGGCTGCGTCGCCTGCCACGTGGGGCAGGCCGGGAACACGGCAGGGGCCGCGGCTCCAGGTGGGAGCCCGCCGGGCTACAGTGGCCGTGGAGGGACAGGGCCGTCGTACCAACGGCTGTGGGCTCCACAGGCTCTGTGCTCTCCCTTCTCCTCTTCCTGAAACGCAGGCTGATCGGCTTTGGGTCTCGGGGCTGGGGCTCCACGGGAGGCTCTGGGGGCCCATCCCCTGCTTCCGCCTGCATGTGGTACTGGGCGAGGGCCCCAGCCACCCCTGGTTCTCCCAGGGGTCCCGGTGACGTCTGCTCCTCTTCAGCCCCCTTCTTCCCAGTGCCGCGGTCGTGGTCCTTGGAGAGTTGGTCCCCTTCATGGTCCCAGAGGCCGTAGCACTGCAGGGGGGTGGGGGCGGAGAGAGGTGAGGTGGCTGGCGTGGCCGTACCCCGGGACCCGCAACATCCCGGCCTGCCTCCCGGCAGGTGGGGCGTGTGCCGCGAGGTGCCCGCCTGCCGTCCCCGGCGACGCACCAGCAGCTGGGAGCGGTGGAAGAACAGGGCCATGAGCTGTACTAGGTCGTACTTGACGTAGCCGTCGGTCTTCTCCAGGCCCAGGATCCGTGGCGGGAAGTACGGCTTGTTCTCGTAGCGCCGGAGCACCGCGTGGGTGTTCCAGGGGAAGAAGCCAAACTGGAACAGGTACTTGGTGACCACGGTCACCTGCAGGGGAGGAGGCTCAGCATGGCACGGCCAGAACTCCCTCTCCCCCGCCCCCCTGGGCCACGGCCCACCTCGGTGAAGACGATGGCCGTCATCCAGAAGCGCTTGCTGGGCCTCGGGATGGACAGCATGGCCCACAGGAAGACGAGCACGGGCAGCACCAGGGAGGTGGCCGAGGCGGTGACCATGTGGTTGAGGATGATGACGAAATAGCAGAGCAGCTCCGAGTGGGCGGCCACGCACTGGTAGGCGGCCTGCAGCAGCCGCAGCGCCCGGCCCTGCCTCGCTTCGAACTGCTGGGCCTCCTCCAGCTCCTGGATGTGCAGGTGCCTGCGGGGAGCCGCGCCCAGGCCCTCTCGCACCAGCGCCCGCCGCCCCCCCAGCCCCCCGCACTGGCCACCCTGGGCACCGACCTGTTGAGGAGCAGCTCGCTGGCGGTGCGGGTCCGGGTGGAAGCACCGGCGGGAAGCTCCCGGGAGCTGTGCAGGGAAGCCCCGGGCTCGGCGGTCGCGTCCTCGCCGCTGCTGCGGGCGTCGCACCCCGTGCTCAGGGAGCCGCCGGTGGCCTCCGTGGCGGCGCTCAGTGGCTCCTGGGCCCCCGGCCCACTATGGGAGGCGAGGGCGGTCACAGAGAGGCAGCCCGCCCTCTGCTCTGCCCGGGCTCTGGGGCCGGCAGGCCGCACGCCTCCTGGTCCGTGCGCCCACAGCGGGGCGGCTCTGCCCGAGTCCGCTGGGTCCCGGCCGCCTCCTGAGCCCCGCCAGCCCACACCCACCTTGCCGCCGCGCCGGGTGCGTCTCGGGCCCCCGAGGAGCCTGGTGGTGCGGCCTCCGCGCCCCTGGCATACAGCTGGTCCAGCAGGCCCCGGTGTACCTCTTGGCCCTGCGGGGCAGCGAGAGGCTCAGGGTGGCAGTTCCTCAAGCGAGGGGCCGGCCCGGGGCTCGGGGGTGTGGGCGCGCGCGCTCACCCTGAGCAGCGCCTGCGTGTACAGGTAGCGCTCGGCGCGCAACACGTCACTCATGGCGCGGTGGTGCCGTGTGAAGGTGCGCAGCCAGTCCGTCAGCCCGTCCACCAGCGCCTGCCCCAGCACCCACAGAAACTGCACGGCGCTCAGCACCCGCTGCATCACGTGGCTGTGGCCTGCAGCGGGGGCAGGGGAGAGGGGCGCTGCAGAGGCTGCCGGTGGGAGGCCCCCGGCCCCCAGCCCCCCGGTCTCTGGGCACGCCCACGCACCAGCCGCCTCTTGGTCTGGGCCCTCCGCCGGCTCCGCCTCCGCGCCCGGGCCGCCTCCTGGGCACAGGGGTGTGTGCTGGTCAGCGCCTTGCGGCCCCGTGGCCCCCGGCGCCCACCCCGCGCGCCCCAGACTCACCTGCGGGCAGCTGCCCTGCCTGCTCCTGCCTCGCCTGCTCCTCCCGCTGCCTCCTCAGCACCGTCTGCGCGTTGGTCACCCATGCCTGGTACGCCAGCTGTGGGCCGGGTCCTCAGGGTCAGCACCCCGCCTCCCGGGACGTCGGGTCCCACTCAGCCCACCTCGGAGCTCCCGGGGAGCTTGGGACCAGGCCCGGCTGGGGGCCTTCGGCTAGCTCCCTGCTTCAGAGGGGGTGGGAAGCGGGTCCCGTGGGGCTGTGCCGTGGGGTCAGGGCACGTGGCCACATCCTGCACACGTGGTTGGCATTCGGTGCCAGGGCCACTTCCTGCAACCTGAGGACCCAGGGGTAGGCGAGGGACCCCACCGTTTTCCAGCAAACACGCATAACCCTTCTCAAGTCCTGGACGCTCAGCGGCGATGTCAGGAGACCGTGGACGGAGGCCCACCGAGCCACCGCCTGTGCCCTGTGCGCCCTGCGGCCTGCGTGTGCCTGTGACCTGTGGGCTCTGGAGGTCTGAAAGGATCTGGGCAGGCTGACTAAAGAGGGTCTCTCCTCCCCCCGCGCCCCACTGACAGGGGAAGGCAGGCAGGCGACCCTCCCACCTCACCTGGAAAGCGCTCTGTGCCGAAGGCCTGGGGTCCTCGGGCGGGGTCTCCTCCTCCTCCTCACTGTCAGACTCGAACAGGAAGTAGTCCCCCGAGTGGATAACTGCAGGCAGGTGGGGCTGAGAACTGTCCTCCCCGACAGGGGCTCAGGCTCCACACCCCCCTCCCCAAGACTCAAGTCCTCTTTAGTGTCAGAAGGGTCCAGGAATGCGCCGGGCCGTGGCACCCAGCATAGCTTCCCTCGGCCTCCCACCATCCCGGGGGACAGCCACGGGAGCTGGAGGCTGGGGCCAGGCCAGAGCAGTGACGGGACACAGACCGGACAGGAAGAACACGAGGGTGGGCGTCAGCATGAACACTCAGACTCGTGAGAGTCTGAGCGACGGGAGCACAAAGCCTGCGTGGGGACCTGGCTGAACCGAGACCCAGCCTGTTATTACTGCGTGGCGGGGTGGGGCCGGAGGGCTGGCTGACAGGGCACACGGGGAAAGGCCGGGGCGCGTGGCCACAGGTGGGTGCACGGCAGCTGAGAGAGGAGGGGCCCAGGCACAGTGGGCCCAAGGAGGTGGTACCTGTGGCGTGGTCCAGCCAGGGCCGCCACCACTGCCTCCGTGGCGGGGACGAGCCCCGTGGACTGCCAGGCCCTGTGGAGGGGCGAAGCGAGCATGAGCCGGCGGGGCGAGGCGCGGGCAGGCCATGGGCAGCGCCCCCGACAGGGGGCCTCGCGGTGCCGTGGGGAGCAGAGGACAGTCCACGAGTGCAGGCGGACGGTGGCAGGCTGGCCCGCGGCCCACAGGGACACGGTGAGCACGTGGCACAGGACAGATGGGCGCACGCGGCACAAACCAGACAGGAGCGGGAGCCAGCGGCACAGACGCCGGGACCCCGGGACCCTGCGAGCCCCTCACACTCACCCGGCTCCTGGGGGGGGCCCTGGGGCTCCTGGGGGCGGCTGCGGCCAGCCCGGCTCTGCCTGTGCTTCTCCTGTTTGGCGCGGATGCGCTCCATCCTGGGGGGCGGGGGCGGCTCTGAGCACCGAGCTGGGCGGGAGAGCCCGGGGCCCCCCACCCAGACGGCACCTACTGTCTCTTCAGCTGGGCCAGGGACTTCTCCTCCGCCTTGCGATGGAGCTCAATGCTCTTGAGGTTGGCCGCGTTGTACAGCGCGAAGCCCCTGCGGGGAGGTGGCGTCACCCTGGCACCCCAGGGGCACGGCTCCCCGACCTGTGGCCTGAGCCCAGCCTCCACCCAGGTCCCTCCAGCTCCACAGCCCCCCTTCTCCCCTTGTCGTGAGTTGGGATGAGGGAGAGGGCCCCTTCCTGCTGCCTCCTGACTCTCGGGGGGGGGGGGGGGAAACAAGCCATCCAAGAGGTGTCCGTGGGGGACAGGAGATGCCCGGCTCGACAGCCCAGGCAGGGAGGCCGCCCAGTGGCCGTGCGCCCTCGGGCCAACGTGGGGGCAAAAACGGGCCGAACTGCCGGCCAGGGGCAGAGCTGGGGTGGGTCAGGCCCTCGGAAGTCGCCCGAGTAGACACGTTAACGTAGTGGGGCGGTGCCGCGCAACCCGGGGGGCCCGAGGTGGGGCCTGACCTGGAGGCCTGCAAGGCAGTGGCCTGGAGCTCCGCACTGACGTGCAGGAAGTAGCGGCTGAGGAACACGCGGCGCTGGAGCAGCAGGAACAGGAAGCACACGCTGTCCCAGAGCACGCCAGCCTCCTCCACGGGCAGCAGGCAGTCCCGGTCCCGGCTCAGCATCTCCTTGGCTGCGGTGCGCGTCAGGGTCAGGGGGCGGAACCCCGGAAGCGTTGCGTGTCTCCGAGCCCCGCCCACAGCGCGTCCCCCCCCCCCCCCCGCGCGCTCACTCACGGTCATAGTAGCCTTTGACGGTGCACACGAGGCTGAAGAGCTGGATGACCCAGCAGAAGCTGCTCTGCATTTGCTCCACGAACACGCAGGACAGGAGCTGGGGCAGGAAGGGGGGGTCAGGGTCAGCCTGGGCCTGGGGAGGGGGGAGGGGCGCGCGGGGGGCGGGGCCAGGCCGGCCGGGCGCACCGAAAGCATGTTCTTGGAGATGATGACGGTGACGTTGTACAGAATGAGGCAGTCCCACAGCAGGAGGCGGGCACGCGTGTGCTTCTGCAACAGGCTGGTGCCGAAGAGCAGCAGGTAGAAGCAGGCCAGCAGGTAGCCCAGCCCGAAGATACTGATGCGGGTGGCTCCCGTGACGAACACCACCACCAGCACCAGCCAGAAGAGGTAGCGGAAGACGGCCACCTTCAGCATGTCGAGGTAGGACCTGCCAGACGGGGCGTCACTGCGGGGCCCGGGCAGCCCCACGTCCTCCCGGCAGCCTCGGCCCAGGGGAGCCGGTGAGGCGCGCCCCCGCTGCCAGGTCGGCGCCCGCCCCTCGGCCCGGCAGAGGGGATCCCGCCGCCAGCGCCCGCCAGGCCTGC